AAACCGGTTGTACGTTGTAATTGCGAATTTTCAAACTATAGATATAACAAAAATTATAGTACCAACCACTCACCATTAGATAAAAAATGTCCAACTTTTCTATATTATCAATAGCAGTACAACTTGAAAATCCTTTTTTAAGAAAGAAGAATTTTTAGCCAAAATTTTAGAATATTGCATCATTTATGACACACGAGTATGTAAATAACTTCCAAATTCAACGTATTAATACTAATACTGCTCATGATTGATGAGCTAGATTCTTTTTTACAAAATCCTGAAATATCTGTTAGAATTTATCATATGAACATCAGAAGTATAAAACATAACTTTGACTACTTTAAATTAATTTTGAAAAGAATACAAAGTGATATAGATATAATCATTCTATCCGAAACATGGCAAGTGGGCGATGTGACTCTGTTTCATTTAGAAGGAATTGTATAATTTTGGTAACCATAATCAAAACGATGGAGTGATGGTGTATGTACGAAACAATCTGCCTTATAACCATACCATATTTACAATCAACAATGAACTAAAAGGTATCAATCTAACAATGCAAATTGAAAATCGTAGAGTCAAAATTACTTGTGTTTACCGACCACCATCTTCAGATCCTCATACATTTATAAGAGACATAGATGAACTATTAAAAAACAATGAAAACAATCACCTTCATAATCAAATATTTATAGGCGACATCAATATAAACATTTTAGAGGAAAATTATATGGTGAAAGAATATTTAAACATTTTATCAAGTAATGGTTTTTTATCATACATAAATAAAGTAACACGACCCACCAGTAAAACCTGCATTGATCACTGCTTTATAAAGGATATTTCCAATATTTTTTCTTACATGCCTATTATCTATGAAACCGATATTACAGATCATTATTCCACTGTATTATTGATATCTTCACAAAATAAAAACCAGAACTGCCCAAGGGCAAAAAATGAAAGAAACCTTGAATACAAATATTTCACTGACAACTCAAAATTAATATTTAACGCACAAACGGAATCGTGGGATGAAATTTTTTTAACAAATTCTTTAGACGAAACTACAAATTTATTAATACACAAAATTCAAAAAGTAATTGAAGTTAGTACTAATAAGGTTAAAATAAGTCACAAGGAAAAAAGCAGAAATGATTGGATGACCAAAGGACTAATAAAATCTGCAAACGAAAAAGAAAGACTGTATAAAATCATGAAATATTTACCCACGAAAGAAAATATAGATCATTATAATCAGTATAAAAACAAATTTATAGAACTTTTGAGAAAAGCAAAAAAAAATTACTATATAAAACAATTGAATAATAATTCACATGACTCTAGACACCTATGGTCCACTGTCAATGATATATTCAATAAGTCATCCTATTCAAAAAACAATATTAATGAAATAAAAACAAAAACAGGACAGAAAACAGACAATATTCAGCAAATATGTGATGAGATCATAGAATTTTTCACGCATATAGGAGGAAACTTAGCAAATAATATCAAACAAAATGCTGATATTCATCTGCATGAAACAAGACTGAATAATTCATTTGTATTAACTGAAGTAAACTATCAGGATGTTTTCAATGCCATTATGACTCTAAAAAATAAAAAAAGCCCTGGAGTTGACGAAATTAGAGCTGAACATCTAAAGATACTGGCCAAACAAATAACAGAACCACTTGCTTATATCATTAACAAATCCTTCCAATCTGGGTATTTCCATCAGCTTTCAAGACAGCAATCATCATACCTATCTATAAATCTAATGATAATACGGACGTCACTAACTATCGACCTATTTCACTTATATCAAGTTTAGCTAAAGTTTTTGAGAAATTACTCCTTAATAAAATGATTAATTTTCTTAATAAATTCAAAATTCTAAATTCAAATCAGTATGGTTTTATAGCGGGCAAATCTACAACAGATGGGGTATTAAGTATAGTAGATGAAATAACCCAAAATATAGATGGAAAAGTACCACCGATATGCGTATTTGTGGACTTACAAAAAGCGTTTGACACAGTTAACCACAATATACTTTTGGAAATCTTAGAAAGAATAGGTTTTCGTGGAAAGATGTATACTTTAATGGAAAATTATTTATCAAATAGACCGCAATCAGTAAAATTATTAAGCTCGTATAGTAAAGAAATGTTTGTTAAATGTGGTGTTCCACAAGGTACAATTTTGGGTCCTCTGTTATTCAATATTTATTTAAACGATATATTCAAAATTAACAGTACTGGTAAAATAGTCAGTTTTGCAGACGATACTGATATACTCTATAAAGGTAAGGATTGGAGCGACTTAAAAGATATTATCCAAAACGACTTTTGCAAAATTATTCAGTGGTTTAATAACCGAAAATTAACAATTAACTTTACTAAAACTCATTTTTTACCATTTTCATCACTATCTAATCATCTACCAAAATATAACCACCTTCGGTTTAAGGTAAATGATAAAAATATAAAAATCAATAGAGTTAATGATACAAAATATTTAGGAATTTATCTAGATCCCCACTTGAGATGGGATGTACATATTTCTCACATACTAAAGAAAATTAGATTCATATCATATAAAATAAAATTTCTAACCGGTATATTAACTGAATATTATCTACGAATAATATATCAAGCTTTAGTCGAGCCACACATAACATATGGTATAGTAGTGCGGGGTGCTGCATGCACGACATACTTTAACGGTTTAGATGTACTTCAAAGAAGAATTTTAAAATCAATGTTAGGCAAATCAAAATTATACCCAACTAATGACTTATATAATGATGCACAAGTATATGATACTAAACAACTTTACTTCTTACATACCATCACTCATTATCACAAAACTATTAGTGAACACGACATAATTAAACATAATCATAAAACCAGATATAAATTACGCGCAAAAAATGTTCCTAAACCAAACAAATCCCTTATGAAACGATGTCACCTGTATATAGCTCCAAAATTGTACGAACATTTACCAAATAATTTAAAACAATTACGCAATACATTAGGCTTCAAAAAAAAATTAAAAAAATTTATTAACACGATTGGGAGAAATCAAATTAATAAAATAATCTCAAATATTACACAATAAATGCTCTACCATTCTTACCAATAATTTCTTTTTTCTCTCTATTTTATTATATTTTACAATTCAACATACATAAATATGATCCATGCACAGGCTTTGTCCTCCTATGGATATATTATATTTATTTACTCGTTTCATGTTCCCTGTATTTTAGAGTAAATAAATATTATTATTATTATTATCAGAGTGTTTAAGACCAACCTAAAACAGGTTTAAGTATACTAAGTGACATATAAATCCGAACACACGGTTTAAATGGATTTATTTTAATAAAAGTTGGTGAATGTATTTATCTTCCTGTAAATAACAAGTGAAAAAATTTTCAGCCTTATCAGTTGGACATTCCGGTTTTTATACTGCTTTTTTTAATTCACTAACGCTCTAAAAATGAATATTTCTGCCGCAGTAAAGAATCAACGTTGGCGGATTTTGGTTCTTGACATCCTTCACAATCGGTTACGATGCCTAGAGTACGGAGACCTGTACGATTTCGTCAACTTAGTGAGTTTGATAGGGGCCGTATAGTGGGACTTCGGGAAGCTGGACTTTCTTTTCGGGCAATTGCAGTTAGAGTGCAAAGAAGTGTAGACACTGTGGTTAGGTGTTGTCAGGCATGGCTTCGAGAAGGCCGTACGCAAAGAGCAAGGGGCACTGGACGCCGCCGTAGAACAACAGACCGTGAAGATCGCCGCCTAAGATTATTGGCCTTAAGGGACCGTTTCTCCACTACCAGGTCCATTGCAAATGAATGGTTTGCAGAACACGCAAGAGCTACTGGCATGCGAAGTGTTTACCGACGAATGAGAAGTTTTGGCTTGTTTTCATACCGGCCACACTGGGTCCTCCCTTTAACTCGAGAACACCGACGTAATCGCCTTGAGTGGTGCAGACAACGGTCACTCTGGGATCAGGAATTGAACAGTATTGTCTTTAGTGACGAGTCTCGATTTTGTTTAGGCATACACGATGGTCGTGCCAGGGTTGGAAGGCGACGTGGTGAAAGGAGGAATCCACAGTTTTTTGTTGAAAGACATGTTCATCACACTGTTGGAGTTATGGTTTGGGGTGCTATAGCTTATGGTTCCAGGTCACCTTTAATCTTCATCAGAGGTAACATGAACGTGCAGCATTATATTCACGAAGTTCTAGAACCCCATCTTTTACCCTATCTTGACACCCTGGCAGACCCAACTTTCCAACAAGATAATGCCCGACCACTTGTTGCAAGAGTCACAATAGACTTCTTTCAACATGATGATGTCACATTGTTACCATGGCCATCAAGATCTCCCGACTTATCCCCAATTGAGCACGTGTGGGATATGATGTATAGGAGATTGCTCAATTTGCAACGTCCTCCTCAGACTCTAGAAGCACTTCGAGAGGAGTTGGTGGTTTCCTGGAATGAGATACCACAGGAGGACATTGACCACCTGATCAGAAGCATGCCTAGGCGCGTTGGAGAATGCGTAGCACATCAGGGTGCATCCACACATTATTAAAGGTCAAAGGGCTTTAAATCAGTGCAATCATTTTGAAATTGTTATCATTTACTTATTATGCTTCATTAAGTACTTATACAAAATTTTAATAAAATAAAACCATTTAAACTGGGTGTTCGGATTTATATGTCACTTAGTATATAAGATTGACTGCAGGAAATCACTGTGCATGTAAGCATCCAACAACCGGAATTGGTCATGATTAGATTTTTACTAGAGTTCGATTTTGATATCTGTACCCAGAGGCCACTGGGGGTGCATAAAGTCCCATATTGTAGCACATTTTCCAACTATAGCGACATATTTCTCTTGAAAGCCACTCCGAATCATGAATCTTTATATCTATCACCTCGTTCGTTCTGCTTTTAGGAAAGGATCCTAGACTACGTCGAGAGTTTGCCGCAGGAAATAAATCTCGGAGGCGGGTTGTGGATAAAGCAGAATCAAGGCGATAGGAATTTCAGGTAACTGGCTTACTATAACCACCGGGTGTTGACAAAAGTACCGAACACATACCTTTTTGTGTTGTTTTAGAAGTTAGCATTTTGAACTCTGGTACACATTCACAGTATGCAGAGATAACAGAAGGACCGGACTACCTCTAAAAACCGGGTACTGTACAGATCAACCTGTGGTCTCTGAAAGAGTCAGCCACCTGTATGCTTTCACCTGTCTTTGGGCTGCGATAAAAATGTAAATAAACTTATAGAAAGGTTGCCAGCAGGTAGTAGACCTCCGGCATCCGAGACTGTCCGAAGCAAAATCGGAGGTGGGTCGCATGTACACGGCGATTCAGGAAAACAGATTGCGGCTTCTGGTTACAGAGCAAAATGAAGCACTAAGTTGCCGATGTTTCGATGCCCTTGGCGGTCAATCGATAATCAGTGACATATATGCTAAAAACTATTTTCAAGTCGCAATTTTTTTGCAGCAAGTGATATTTCTGTGCAGCAAAACAATAATAACGGATCACTCTGATTAACCACAATTACTCTATGCCGTTAAAAACAATTTTCCGACTTTTAAACTTACGTAATGTACGCCAAGGCACTATAGCTCCACTCTATAAGTGGCAATAAGAAATTGCGGGACCTCTTCGGGTCACGACCCGTCCTGTAGGCAAAGCTGGTGAAAAGAGATCCGGTTTTTGAGAAAAATGTGGGCATCCTTTTGAAGTCCGAAAATCGAAGGATCAAACGATTCTCCGTGAGTTCTTCTTGTACAGGTAACCCTGAACTTTTTGATAATAATATGCTCAAAGTTCTACCTTGCGACGGCCTAGGTCACAAGTCTTGTATGTCATCCTATATACTATATGTAGTTAAATTGGCTGTAAGCATCGTTTACAACTTCTAGTATTAGTCACTGTAGCTAGAGACATTTATTTAATTAAAGATTCTCATAATCCTCCAGGCGACTGCAAAATTTCCGGTATATCCATAAATGGGCTTCTGAAGTATTATAGTATCTACGAGAAAAATTCGCATCACCCATTCCTGTCGGTATGTCAACTCATTTACTGATGTTTGCAATCGCATAATGTCAGAAATCTCCGATAAAGCTTGACGCGATATGCCGTAGGGTCGTAGAAAGTAATATTGGGTCATTTTTGAAAATCATTGTAATCGTTGTGTTTTCCGATTTCACCACGTTCCGTAAATCAGAGAAGTGATCCGAAACTTCATTTCGACAGACACTGAAATATCTAAAATTCACTTATTATAATAATAATATGCAAATCCGACAAATTGATAAAAACAGTGCTATAAAATAAAACGAGGGAATTCCATGAATGACATACCCATATTTATTATTTATTGCAGCATTCCAGATTTCGTTAACTGACAAAAAACTATAAAGTTGTTCTGTATGAAAGAATGGCGTCAATTAGGTTGGCCCTACACATCGCGCGCAACGCGGTTTATGTTCAGCAAAAGTTATACCCAATGGAAAAAATTAACGAGCATAAAAAACAGGGAAATTCAACAAATCAAGTCATTTCAAGAGGCCCATAAATATTCCTTTTCTGCCCTATCGATAGTACTTACTGTCCATCTAGAAACGTTGCCCTACACCGCACGATTCGTCAGCCACAGCAGCGCGCTCCTGCGGCACTAACGGCAAAACACTCATCGAGACCTTGACGCCGGCGGACACAGTGAGAGGGAGCAAAGACGCGAATTTTAAACATTACCATACCAGTCTAAGTTTTGAAGGCAAATGTTCAAGAAAACATGACAAGTGTGAAATATGACTAATAGGTGGGTACAATTACCAGAGCTGCAGGCGTACAAATATACATCATCATCGATAAGCTGATCTTTACCCTTCTCCACACACTACTACACTCTAAAACGTCAAAAACAAAGTGTTGAGCAAATTTATTGTTTTCGTTCTTTTACCCCTACTTCTGCCGCTACTCGATCGATTTTCAACACCTGTAAAGCATTTTCCTCCTTGGCATCCTTAGTAATACTCTTGTGTGAAAATTTTGTCAAAATCTGAGCGGTGCCTTCCATGTTACAGACGGCCCAACGATTAGCGGTCAGACTGACGGACAGACAGGCTGATGGTAATGAGTGACGTGATTTTTTGTAATGCACATGTTATGTTACATCCAAGAAACATAAACTATTTTCGAAATTTTTTGGCGATTACAATATTTCCTCGCCAATGTCGTGGGAAGTAAAACGCACGATGTATGGAAAGTATGCAGTTGTTTTACCTTATTCCACATTTTATTCGTATCTGAAGAATTACCATTGAACAAATATGAATTTATTTCCATTGGCGTACAGCTTTTCATATAGTTCAAACGAAAAAAAAAACAGCCAATAAGAAGTTAAGACCAATAACAACGTTGCACAGGTGGTGGTCTCCATGCGGTTCTAAACAAATGTCAACTCATAACATAACCCTTCCCCATCTTTTTGTGCCTTTTGTGTTTGATTTGAACAAGGTGACTTTTACTTAATGCTTACTTGTAATAGGCGCGCATTGAAGATGACATTTTACCGAGTTTTTTACACCATATAGGTTTGTTACGTTTGTACTGCCGGGCAAACATTTCAAAAAATAAAGAATCATTCCTTATAGGTTCCAGATATGTATTTAGCATAGATGGTGAGTTTTTAGTGTGTAATCGATCGTTTCCATTATTACAAAATATGTAAAAAAATTGATCACAAAAAAATTATATGCAAACGTAAGTAATTTAAAGCTAGCTACGTGGAAGCCCAATCATTGTTTTTTAAGCAAAATATCCTGCACATTCTGAAAGGCACCGTCAAAGGGTTATTTTGTCCGGAAAAAAACACTAAATTTTGCCAAGTTATGACGTGGTCAGTTTTGCATTTGAATGTTTTTCGTTTAGTTTCATTTATCATCTATACATCTGATCAACATATCATGACTTTTGACAAGGCGAAAAATCCGCTCTGTATCAATATCATAATCTTACCTTTTTTAATAGACAAAATGAAATACCTGGCAAACCTAGGACTGGCGGTGAAGCTCTGGATAAGAGGTTACTGGACAGAATCAGCGAGTATGTTCGAACACATCGGGTGGAGTTCCTCATGCCTCAGGGAGCCCTAAAGGAATTGGATAAGGCAGTTGTCGAAGGTAAGTTAGGGCGTGCATTCTCCACTAATAATAACAGGTAATATTCTTAGTGCCTACTTTTATAGTTTACATAAGGTGAAACGGATTAATTGGGTGATTTTGACTTCAATTTTCAAGTCTGGAACATAAAAATATATTCTTCACTATACACATGGATTTCTTATGGATATGCATGTCTTAACCATAGTTCAGTCCTCATTAGCACAACTAGCCGAAGCTGATGATGGAGCTCATCGTACACAATACGTACAATACTGGATCACAGAGGTCGCGCACGTGGCGCTGCCCATTGTCGCCAAAGGTTAAAACCAACGATTCTCAACGGGCGACTTGTGCAACCTTTGGGTGTTACTTCGTGAGCATCTGGATCTTCATTATCAGCTTGCCCAGTTGTGTTGATCAAGCTGTGGTCGGGATGTGCCCGTCCACAAGAAAGCCACGAGCATAATGCAGAATATACGCTAGATCCCTGTCAGCTGGAGACAGGCCAAAGTTAGCGGACCGCTCATGGAGCGAAAAACAAAGGTTTTTGCTATCAACTAGTCATATTTGTGATAGATCCCTGTCGAGAAATTTGGTTCAAAAGGCTGAAACTAATCGTTTTCGAGCAGCGCCATGACCTTAGCTCATTGTTATATAACATAAGCGTTTAAAACCATTACAGTCCATCAAAATCTGATTTGACATTTTGACAGTATTAGGATACATAAAAAATATGTTTTTATATGACCAAGTGATAATATGGAATGCTTAGTAATATGAAGGGCATAGGAACACATACTCATTGACATAAGACGTGTTACACCCAGAAAAAGTAATTTCTTCGATTTGATTTTTTGGCAATGATGTAGTCCTACATCAAGAATGAAACGATAACATTCTCAAGAAGTTTTATTGACAAGTAATCAGAAAAAAGGTTAATAATGTGTTGTGCGACCCCGCATCTAAATACACTCCTGTATACGTCTAGGTATTGACGAAATGAGATGATCGATGCCTGTTTGTGGCACCTCATTTTATGCAACTCGAAGTTCGTGGATTAGCTGTGGCAGAGTCTGTAGCGTATGGTGCAAAGTTGATAGTCTTCTTCCCACCATATCCCCACATGTTCGGTAGGATTCAAATCCGGTGAACGGGGTGGCCAGGGCAAGACATTAATGTCTGCTTCATGCCAAAAGTCCGTAGTACGACGAGCAGTATGGAGACGTGCGTTGTCTTACTGAAAAAGGACATGTGGACGGCCCTCTAGATACGTCAGTATAGTGCTTTGTAGGACATCATCAAGGTAACGCGCAGCAATCGTATTACATTGAACAAAGAGAAGGGGTGTTCTACGGCGACGATAGTGGTCCGCAGTCACAGGAAGCACTAACCGTGGACGGTATGAGAAAAGTCCAAAGGCTCGAATGCGGCGATAGAGTGTATGCATAGTAACAGGTCTACCTTGATCTCCAAATCGTTGGTCAGCGATCTGACGCATAGTAGCAAAACGGTCTTGTAGGCCTAATTGACTGAAGCGCCTATCTTGACGCCCTGTGGTACGCCTACGGTGAACCAGTCGGCCTTTTTAGTGTTCCTCTACCTTGTTCTATCAATACACGACATTCACGCATTACCGTCGTTGCAGTGCAATTAACTCAGCAGCCAATTTCGCGATAAGACAAATATCTCGATACGTAATAATTCTACCCCTGTCGAAGTTACTAACATCGTTATAATTTGGACGTCTTCGAACTCGAGACACTTTGTTATGCTTAACACTAGTAAATGAAAGGGAAATAACTAAAAATATCTTTAATACTCAGCTTTCAGAAACTGCTTTCTTCACAAAAACTATGAGATAACATTTTAACAAAAGTTAACAAAAACAAATATTGACATTGCCGCCACAGTATGCACTGAATATAGTCATTATGTTGCCAAATCAGACAAGTGGAAGAACTTAATTCTTCTGTGTGCAACACTTCTAATGTCGCTGAATATCCTATGTTGCTGAAAATGGACGTTTTCGCAAAGCTGCTTAACAAATAAAATAATCAATACATGTGGTTATTCTACCTCCTCGTTTTCAAGAATTAACCTAATCTCAAAACGTTATCTAACCTGTTTATTATGCAAACTCGGGAATTTCAAGAGGTATTCTACCATACAAGACTTAACTTATGTTTTAATATTTTACAGGCAGGAAAAAGAAGGGTAACAAAGGAGGCGGTGGAATGGGCATGAGAGGGATGATGATGATGTTCTACCTTAAAGCGGCTGCATTGGGCGCTATCGCGCTCAAGTTCATCGGTGCTGTTGCATTCAAGGCCCTTCTTGTAGGCAAAATTGCGCTAACAATAGCTCTAGTGATTGCACTCAAGAAGCTGACAGATCAACAACATCATACGTCGACATATGAAGTAGTTGCCCCTCATCACTATGATGATGCTTCGCACTATGACAGGTCGTTTAAGGTGGATCCTAGTTACAAGGACAGCATTGGTGGAGGTAGAAGTTAAAAAATATAACTAATAATAAAATGTTCTCAAGATATCCGAGATTTATTGTATGTGGATGAGAGTATGTCAAAGCGTAGTTATAGAACCATCAATCACAAAAGGCAATGTAGGTTAATCTTTTCTGATCTACTGGTTCCCTGGGATGACTTATCGTCAAGTCAGTGTTTCCTTCTATACTACCTATGATGACAGGCACTAGTTCTACATAACCAATAGGTATAGAATGAATGACTTCATAACGAAAAGATAAAGCTGGCTGCAAAAGGTTAACTAAATAGGATGTATGGATTATTATAATTATTGCATTATATCATATATTATTGTATTACCTCTGATATAGCATCTTCTACATTATACCAGGATGAATCTTAGTCAAGTATGATTAATGATGCAAGACACATCTTGAGGATTTTGTGGTCAGAAACCTAACTATAAAAGTTTGGTTCAGAACCACCACAATATGCAGCATATCTAGAGGTCACTCAGTAAACTGGTTAATTTGAAAGATTTGCAGATAGTCATTTCTTTTTAAGTGAAATAGATTAAAATCTGGAATGTAGTCACATGACTCATGTGCGTCCTTTCACACCAGAGCTTTAGTATTATTACTTATAATGTGTTTTGTACTTTGTTATAATTGTATCAGTAAGAGTAAAGTTATTTATTTAATTTATTGAATTATAGTTAGGTGAATAAGCATAATGAAAATTATACAAAGGATTTGTAATAGACGATATGAATATAAGATTTGTTTTTGATTGCTATCTTGCGCTTATCATCCGATTTTGTTTCTCATATTCCATGAACACCTTATGGACTTGATTATACTCTTCTCGCATTATTGGTACTTATAGTAATTATTTAGACCTGTATGATACGATACATCACTAGTTTGCATACGACCCCTAAAAAAAGTGATAAGCAAAATGATATTTTGATTGCAGATAAGTTCAATACGAAAATACGGAATACATCTCCATCAAGATATGACAACGCCTTTTACAAAAAAAAGCATCACCGTACTATATATTGGGAAAACGTGATTAATTAAACAATTTTTCTGGAAAAACTCCATTACTCGTAATGAATATTTTAATTGAATTTTCTACAACAAGGTTAATTGAAATTTAGGCACATTAGTTTAAGACTATTGGATCAATGCTATTAAACTAATTTGCCTAAATAATATTTAAGGTGTACAGCTATAAATTGACCCCATCTAACTTCTTTGTATGACCGTTTAGAAATAATATTATATAAAAGTAGTAGGATCTAATATACAGTTTTTCGTACAATCTTTTTTCTATAAAGGGTGTTGTAAAGGAGTGGCATTATGTTGTATTATTTCAAGTGGAAGACCCTATATAAGTTTAGTGAAGATGATATCCACTTTTGTGTCTGATTCTAAACATATACCGTTCATCCTACTCATTTTCCATTACTTTGGTAAATAAATTGAATTTTGCGTGCTATATATTCATGAGTATGCGAGTTCAAACCCCTTTGCGTTTGCAATCTGGCATAGGGTCATATGATTAAATGGCATATACAATGTTTTTGACTAAAGTAATGAAAATAAGCATAATAAACCATACACACTTAGGACCAGAAGAAAAGTGACCATGAGTTTCGATAAAAAAATTCTATAAAAAATACAGCTGGAAAAGAGAGAACTTTTATGATACACCCTACAGGAAAAAGACATTGCATTAAATCCTTTGTTTTAGACCCTAAAACTTTTGTATAAAAGTTATTTTTGTAAAAGGTCATGCAAAAAAAATTATAGCGGTCAACTTTATTACAGCGGGACACCCCTGTACCTTGTCCCCTACCTGTTTTATTGAATTGTCTAATTAGTTTAGATAATTTAGTTCATGGAGTGGATGTACATGTAGAGCAATTAAGGATTTCGATAAAAACCGTGTGAACGTTAATTTGATAAACTGGTTTACTGTTCTGATGGATTCAGTTTTTATATTGTATAGTGTGTATGTATTAGAAGTGGAGCCTTCTGTTGGAGCAAATAAAATATTCGAAAATAGAATATTATGTTATATGACATGTACATGGTGGCCAACTAAGAATGCGAAGTACTGTATCTGGAAACCTATCTATCGTAGAGGCTGGCGGCAAAAAAGTTCTCACTAAAACGGCCAAAAGAAAAACCAAGAAAATATTTACAAGTTTCTGGAATGGCCGCTTGGGGTCGTACCTGCATTCTTGAATCTAAAAAGTGAACTTCTTTTGTCTGACTGTTCTTGCTGTATCTCCAGAAATGGTGGGGGGCATTAAAAGTTTTCCGTATCTGCGCTGAGCCGATTTTAATAAACTTGGGCTAGTGGAAAAAAGCTATAGGCTACAAATGTTATAATATTTGAAGTTTTGTTAGTTTCACATATGGCCGATAGAAAGCTTTTTTCGACGTACCGACAAAAATGATTAATTTTCTCATAAAAATTAAATGCATTGGTATGATTTATTATATTAGCTAAATAATGTCTTAGCAAGCACGCGAAAACCGCATATCGATGTCTTGAATCTAACCTAAAATTTAGGCGAAACGAAATTTTATAGGAAAATCTTTTATATTTTTATTTTTTTAAACTAAGTTTTCTGGAATTCTTTTTTATTCATCAGAATAAAATCACCCTTTTTGAAAACATTAAAAATCATCGCTAAAAGGTAATGCTAATAACAAAAGGCATATTTTTTGTTTAAATGCATATTTACAGTGGGTATATACGATAAAGACAATTAATAGGAGCAGGCCATGGAATACAACAAAACAGATACCTAATCAATACATAAATAATCATTAAATTGCCAATAGTTTCGCGTTACTTTGAGCAATTTTTGCGCTTACCAAATGCGTTTTACGAACGATGAAGCTGTTGATATGCTTGCAGTTTATTTTGAATGCCGTGGTATCAAAAAGAGTTTACGCGACTTCATATCCAAATCGGCGTCTTTGCGACGTGGAAGTTTTTCCCCGATTAGTGGTGAGCTTACGAGCCAAAGGTTGTTTTCGGCCTACGTTTCAACAGAAAATAATTGGAATGACACAAGAAAATATTCACCGCGTACTGGCATATATTGGAGGAAATCCTCGTGTTAGCAGAAGTGCGATATCTCTTGAGTTAGGCATATCACGAACAACGATTCAAAACATTTTAGTGGTAAGTTCTAATGGCCACCATAATATTGGGACTTACTGAAGGTTAACTTTTTTTAATTACTTTTAGAATGCACCCATCTCATGTCGTTTTTCATCAGGCCTTGAAAGAGGAAGACTTTCATCGGAGGTTGGACTATTGCCATTGGATGTTGGGAATGATATGCGAAAATAGAGAACTCTTATTTCAAATTCTTTAAACCGATAAAGCCACCGTCAATAGTCACCGGAGAGTCAATCTGCAAAATATGCATTATTGGTGTGCAGAACATCCGCATTGGCTGCGTTCGGCACCAAGCGTATTTGCATATTAATGCAGTATTTTAACAGCGGTGGATTGGTAGAGGCCTTTGTGATAACCAGACTTAACTTGTCTTGATTTTCATTCAAGGGGACGGTTAAGAGACATCGTGTTTCAGACTCGACCTACAACCAGAGAAAGTATGAAAAACTGAATTCGTAATGCAATACGTAACATACCGAGAGCCGAAATTGAAACATGCTGTCTTGTCTACCCCTGAGATGCTTCGTGAATGCATAAAGCGTGATGGTCAGCATTTCGAGCATATCAGAACTTTCTTTTTTAAATCGGTCCTCTTTAGGCCACAACTTAAAAATAAAAAGAAATTTCAGAAAACTTAGTTTAAGGACCCACATTTATAGATACTTTCAGTGCTTTAACCCACTTTTCATCGTCGAAATGTTGCCACTGTTCTTAAGTCGCCCTGTAAGCACAGGCAGGGTTACCTAACACCAGCATTCGGATTATGGTGTTCCGAAAAATTTGAGAGGATGCCGTCACCCAAAGGAGAATAAACTTCACCTTCGGGTTACGGCTGGGAAAATATACATATACTTCCATTTTAACAGAAACATTGTCTCTAATCAATATTCGACCCAGCTATACTGGTATACTGTCAAACAAGTGAACGCGCTGGTAAAGTCCAATATTTAAATTACCGACTTTGCAGGATCCAAATCAGAAATTTTATTCCCTGACTCCTCTGAGACATACAGGAACAATTTTTAAGAGGAAGCTTTTCCCAGTTCTGTTAACCTTAGGCAGTTCAAACATCGGATTTACAAAATTTCTTTGTGATCCTCATAGCAGCCGCGGTGTCCCGGCATTTACGCTTCTGCCTACGCGGCTGCTTCGATATAAAAAAAATATATACGAATAGGTTTGGAGAGCAAATTGCGATAATACTGAGATTACGGAATACAGTACTACCAATGTCTACACTTATCTTTCTAGAATAAGAGACTACGTTCTAGCCAAAATGCTTCGAACAAAATGCAGGGTGAGTTTTTATTTCTACAGGGTTATTCATAATTTAGTGATGACTCAAACATACATTTTATTACAGATTCGGGTATGCCCTTTTAAACGAAGCAAGTTGATACCATTTATACTATTTCAAAACTGTTTCGGTATTGCGCAATCTTTTGAAAACACACTGAACTTTGACAACTCGCACCACCGCAACTGCTAGAGCTAGAGAATTGAATTATCCGTCATAAAATTTTTATCATCCCAAACTTTGTCGCTATTTAACTACCTATTCAATTTGTTAGTTTTTTATACAGTGTGGTCAAGAACGCGAAATGACCGATTTCACAAAATTTTCAACTGTATATTTTCACATTTTTAATTCCCCTATTCCCTTTTCCCGATATAAGATGTATGAGGGTTCCTTACAAGTGGTTTTTAAGTTACAAAAAAACACAGGGACACCTCCTTGACTTTCCGACTTTATTGCATAAAGTTAGGTAGACTCAAATTGTAATCAAAACACACACATTTCAACCAAATGCCGTTACTATTATTGTTATTATTATTTGGAAAGGTCTTTTAATATTCTTTAAGCTCCTTGACGTCCGATTTACAATCACGTTAACCATTTATCCGATAAACCTTACATCGAAGAAAGTTTGCGAAAAGGGGCATCAAAAAGTGTAAAAATATTCAGGGCGTTCCGTTTGAAAATCATGAGAAATGGTTCATTTCGCGTTCTTGGCCGTCCTGTATAGTCTATCGAAAAAATAAAACAGCAAGTCGATAGGAAGAGAAAACGAGATCGAAAAGTTCGTATGACAAAAAGATCAGTATTCTAGCTGTAAATATTGCAGAGGCGCGAGTAGTCAAAGTCTTGTGTTTTTTCGATGGAGTGTCCAATACCTCCTAAATTTAGAAATGAAGCCAAAAGTTCTGTTAAATCAAATTGCTTAGTAAAAAAGGGTGTACTCGCATCAATAATAAAACGTAGGTCATTCCACTTAAGCAACTAGACGTTTGGGTCACCATGTATTACGTAGTTATGTATCACCTTGCAGAAATATAAATTCTTACCAAGTATGCACTTGGCTACTATTTTTGTAGTTAACTTATTCAAATATCATGCACAATGACGGAGTTATCGACTGAGCCCACTCTCAAAACTCGCCCTGTATGTTCTGGGTACGTAAAAATAGGACAATAAACGTTTTCGATAGAGTTACGAATTCCTTTCATCTGAACGTCTATTCTTTCCAGTTTACGTCGGTGAGTGAGTTAGTTAAAAGTAAGTCCAGGTGCTGTCAGATCACCTATAAACTTTTCACACAAGATGTATCAATACTGCAGGCAGCATTCACGCTATATTTGAAAACGTTTCCACTTACTTCCAGTAACTTTCTTCCTTGCAGCTATCTATTAGCTTATAATTTACGATGTGGTCTTTTATGTAAAATGAGTTATACAGTATGGCAAAATTCACAGAACGGAAATTAAAATGGGCAACCCAAGAAATAATACTTCATGCCTTAACATTTATTACAACTTAATGCTTACGTTACTTTATATCCTAGAGATTCCCTTTCCAATGTGATGTCATCCATCTTACTCGTGTTGTTTTGTTCTAATAAAGCTTATTGTTTTTATTACTAGTTTCCAATTAGTACATGAATGATTTAAAATCTAACGGCAATTGACTGATTTCTGTTAATGGTAGCAGTTGCTTAATGACGCATTCTTCATTGACCAGATGCTTTACCTCAACATTACTTCATGCTTAGCGAAACTGTTTTTTTCATAGAATCACACCTTTTTTTTTTTTTTTTTTTTTTATAGGACCGTCGCCAGGCCGCAACCTGGAGCGAGTGGGTCTACGAACCGCCTTTGTGCTGGAACCGCCAAGATGGCATAACTTCACGCACGCAGGCTGTCTTGTCTTCATCGTCTTGTTCTTCAGTTGTCCTCGTAGTAGTCGTCCAATCGCACCCTACATCTCCCATCCCGGACCTGCCGGATTAGGAGTTCGGGGATGTTTGTACTCCATCGTCTGCCTTCTTCAGTTTTAGTAGTTCCTCCACGAAAGATGAGATCATATGCCAGTGATTCTCGCTGGCAAGCATCGTGGGCACCGCCGACTCAGGTGTGAAGGTTAATCCTATTTGTTGTTCCAACCGTCTCCTCAGTACAGCCCATCTCCTACAGTCGAAGAAGGTGTGTTCGGCTGAATCGATGTCCGTCTGGCAATAGCGACAGTAGGGACTATCCTTAATGGTACGCAGGTTCAGGTATCGGTTGAAGTTCCCGTGTCCTGTAAGAAACTGAGTGATGTAGAAGTTTACATCCCCATGCCTCCTACAGTACCAAGGTTCAACCTGCTGAATAAGTGTGTGCGTCCAGGAGCCCTTAGGATCGTTCTCCCATCTTGCCTGCCACTCACGCAGGGTCCGTTGCCTGACTGCAGTGAAAGGTTTTGGTATTTCACTGGTGTCGTACAACCTTTGACGTTCCAGTGCCAAAAGATCAATCGGTATGGCGCCTGCCACTACCAAAATGGCCCCCTCAGCGACAGTGCGATACGCTGACGATATTCGCAGAGCTGCTGTTCTCTGAACTGATGCGAGTCTTCTTCTGTAGTTTTCGATTGTCATTGCGTTAGCCCAGATTTCCGCTCCGTACAGCATCATTGAATTGGCGACGTTCATCAGTACCCGCCTCTTATCTGCTCTAGGACCATCGACGTTTGGCATAATCCTAGATAGCGCGGTCACAACTTTTGTGGCTCTGTTTGCCACTTCTGTGAGATGTTGCTTGAATGTCAGTTTTTGGTCCAACCATATTCCCAAATACTTCACCGTTTCATGAGAGGTGATGGTGACTCCCGAAAAGTTTAGCACCAGAGGCAGCGAATGTAGTCTTTGTCTGGTAAGCACGGTCACTTTGGTCTTGTCTGCAGCCATTTGTAAGCCGTGTTGTTTCATCCAAAAGTGCACCGAGTGCGCTGCAAACTCGGTTTCTAGGCGCGCAGTCTCCATGTCCCTGGCAGTTACCACGGCAACGATATCGTCAGCGAACCCCACTAGTTGGACACATTTCGGTAGCTCGATTCTTAGGATCCCATCGTACATCGCATTCCATAGGTCAGGCCCAAGCGCAGAACCCTGGGCTACACCGGCAGTGACTTTCTGAACCTGCTGACCTTCTAGGGTTTCGTAAGTCAGACTTCTGTTGGAGAGGTAGTCGTTAATCACCCGTAGTAGGTATGCCGGGATCTTGAAGCGCTCTTCAAGGGCATTCATGATATCGACCCACCTTGCTGAGTTGAAGGCGTTTTTCACGTCAAAGGTGATCAGAACACAGATACTGCGACTGCGGTGATTTCCTCGCCAGGCCGTGTACGCTTGTTCCACCACCTCACGCAGTGCTCCTACTGTTGAATGGCGCGGTCGGAATCCATGTTGATGGGCGGATAATCCTCCAGCGTCTTCGATTGCATCACGTAGTCTCTGTCGAATAAGCTTTTCAAACATTTTGCCCGCATCGTCCAGCATACATAGTGGTCTAAACGAAGACGGTGTTATGGGTAGACCCTTTCCCTTGTCTAGCAGTACTAGCCTCTGTACCTTCCATCTTGTTGGAAAGATACCTGCTTGGAGGCAAGTGTTGTACATATTCAGCAGAATAGTTGGGTGTTCGAGCGCTATAGCTTTGATAATCTCTATCGGGATACAGTCGGGTCCCGGGGACTTCCTGACTTTCGCTACGCTAGCGACGGCTCTCAATTCCTCTTCAGTGAAAAGTTCAAAGGTTTCGTGGACTTGAAATTCCTTAATGGGTTTGTCCGGGTGTTCAGGGAACAAAGTGGTTACGATTTCCTTCATTCTTTCCAGCTCAAATGGGCCAACAGGTCTCTGCTGTCCAAGACGTCGCATCACTATCTTGTAGCCTAGTCCCCATACGTCCTGGTCTACGTCATTACAGAGACTTTTCCAGCATGCCTTCTTACTAGCACGAATCGCTATTCTCAGTTGCCTTTTGGCTTCCTTGAATTGTTGCTCCATGGCTACATCTCGTTGGTCCCTTCTCTTAGCCCTTTGTACAATGCGTCGTAGCTGCAGAGTTCTTTTACGAAGTTCTGCGATCTCGTTATTCCACCAATAAACCTGTCTCCTGAAACATTTGGCAGATCTTCTAGGCATGGCGGCGTCGCAGCAGTTAATAATTTGCTGCATTGTGTTCTCCACCAAGGCCTCTGCATTCTGCATAGATATTTCTGCATTTTGAGTACCAATAACTTCGATATTGGTAAGATGTCTGCTCAGGATATCCTTGTTCAAACGGGAAATATTCCATCCCCCAATAGTGGTTTGCGTAGGTTTATCTTTCCTTCCACCATCTAGTTGGATCCTAAACCTGACATATTGATGGTCGCTTCCGGAGTAATCTTCCAGAACTGCCCATTCTGTCACCGCGCGCGCTACTGAAGAAGATGCCAGAGAGATATCAATAATTGACCCTCTTTGACCACTTCTCCTGAAAGTGGATGTATTGCCAGTGTTCAGGATAGTTAGGTCGAATCTAGCTGCTAGATCAATGATCGCTGTACCTCTCGAACAGGTCCAATCCATACCCCATGCGGTCGATTTTGCATTGAAGTCGCCAGCTAAGACAACGTTGTTGCCCAAGTTTTGTAAAGTCTCTTCCAATTTGTCTAACTTCGCCCGAAATATATCAACTTTGTCGTTCGGAGACAAATAGATGCTTACGTAGGTTCTCGTTCCAGTCTTTAACCATACGAAACCGTTTTCAGAGCCATAGTCGGATACTGGGAAGTTGGACTTATTGATAACCCAAATTGCAGCAGTTCCGGTTTGGTCTGTGTACCAGTTGGAATGTTTTTCATTTTTGTACTGCTCAGAAATTATGACCATGTCCACCGCGTATTCCTGCGTAGCTTGTTGAAGCACATTTTGAGCCAACTTGGACCTGTTCAAATTACATTGGAGGATACAGGCCATGGGTTTGGTGGCTGTTGTTTAATCCTTCTATCCTCTGGACACCAGGCTTGATATCCTTGCCTGGTTCACCAGTTTCCTAAAACCAGGACACCTAATTTGGTCTGCTCGATGTCCAGCTGTCTTGCAGGTAGTGCAAAACGAGGTGTTCTTGCAGTCTTTCCGCTGGTGTCCTGCCTGGCCACAGTTCCTGCATTCACCTCTTCTGTCTGCTCCAGTACACCTTTCAGCTCTATGGCCAAACTCTAGGCAGTTGAAACAGCGCAAGATCGAGACCCGCTCCTTCACCGGCCATATAGACCAGGTGGTCACTATACGTCCCTTTTGAATTAGGTGCTTTGCTGGTATCTTATCCATTACCACCGTCGCCGTCTGGTTTCCAAATTTACCCACTTTTAGTGCGGCTATCCGAAAGCGAGAGCCCTCAATGCCGGTGTCAGTCGTAATGGCTTGCGAGACTTCTGCCGTCGTTACCGAAGGGTCGATGCCAAACACAAAAAGAGTGACGTCCGAGTTCCTTGTGCGTGCATCCACCTCTTTGACCTTCGACGTTATTTCATCTCTTAAGGCATTTGCCTTACCTTCTCCGTCCACCACAAGGACTAGGTCACCATTTTCTTGTTTCCTTATGCTTGTGACATTTACATCAATCTTCTTGATGTCAACGTTTTCTTTAACTGTTCTGACCAATTCCGCAAAAGTTTTCCCTTGCCCTTTAACCACCACTGTTTCCTGACGTGCTCGACTTTTTTGTCGGTCTGGTGGCTTTGTTTTTGTCCTGCCTACTTCAGCTGCTACTTTTCCTTGTACAGCGTACTTCACCTGTATCCCACTTTTCCTGAAAACACACTCCAGCAGTTTTCTAGTGTAGTTTTTATCCAGTTCCTCCGGAGTAGTTACAACTATTTTGTGGCGATTATGCTTTATGGTTTCCTCCCTCAAGTTGCATAAGACTTGGTATAGGTCTCGCATATCGTTTATTCCGTCAGGGTCCACTTTATAAGGCAGTAGGAAGATAAATCTCGATTTATTGTCCTGCCTTCCACGGCTCGTCGATATTTTGGTCGACATTTCCATGAATTCTACTCCACCCTCTAATACTTGACCACCGATTAAGTCCGAAATTTCTGGATATCGTTCCTTGACTAACTTGACCGCTCCTTTTGCTGCCGGGCTAGCAGCATCAATAACCAGAGCCATGTCCCACTCGTCGCCTGCCTTAAGCGGATTAGGCCCCACGCACTCCGTGGTTTTATACACGTATTCAGGCCATTCAGTCTCCAAGAGGGTGGCGAATTCTTCGAAGGAGCTCCCATTTTCTACTTCCTTGTTAATTTTGGTTGCCTGATAGTCGATGTTCACTTGCGTCCCTACGTCCTTGGTGCTACAGCCCGTCTCTCCTGTTGTAGTGGTTTCGACCTGCGTATACGCTTCTGAGGTCTGGCAGTTAAGATGCTCTGTACGTAGTTCCTCAAACTCGCGTAGCTTTAGCAACACCGTATCCGCAATTCGGGTCATCACATTGACTCCCTTTTTGATTTCAGCCTTGGTATTTGTAGGCACGATGTCAGTCAATTCCTTTCCGGAACGTGACAACTTTTGCAACAGACCTCTCATTTCCCCTATCAGCTTTTCTTGTTCCATATTTGCTGCCTTCTGACTCTCCTTCGGAGGGGTTTCCTCCCGCGCTCTCTTCTGCGGCTGACTGACAGTGAAGATGGAGTTATCTCCTGCCCAAGAGTGAAGTCTGCCTCTCGGAGGCGTTCGATGTAAGGAGTCCCTCCTTTCAAAGGGATTGATGTTCCCCTCATCGTCTATTATCATTCCAGACACTATTTCTTCCACTCCCGCCTGGTTGCTCACGGGAGTTATCGCCCTGTCACTGGCTAACGGTCGGGCGGGGCCAGAGCGAGCACCACCGTCACCGACCGGTACTGGGGTTCCGAGTCCCTGCACCGTAACTTCTACCTTCTGCACTTTTCTGTTCATATTTCATATTTTATTTTGTTTCCGTTTCCATTGCCAAGTCGTCATCTATCCCACCATGTCGTCATCGTCGTTCCATAACCATTACCTCGTCCAGTCCATTGCCAAGTCGTCGTCGTCCGGTCCTTGCTGGTATGCTTCAGTTTTTAAGCGCCCGAAGACCCGCTTTTGTCCTTCCCGTTGGCGGTATAACTCTATCGGGGAGCCCTCCCAGCGTCATACCTTCGGCGGACACCTGCCGAACTCAGGGTCAAGTTCGACGAAGGTGGGATATAGGACTTGTTGGTTCTTATCTTTTGTAGACTGTGGGCGTTTCACAAGGGTTTTATTGGAGTGCAGTACCAGCACCTCACACCCCCCCCTGGACCCAGTGACCAACCGTTTACCCACCACACCTGCATAACACACTTTTAGCTCAGCTATTACTAGTAATTAATTTTATCGCTCCTCGTTATAAAATCGTTATCTTTGAGCTACATTTTATACACAAAAAAATAGTACGAGTGATCACTGTTACTAGAAAAACCACTACCAAACACATCAGTGCAGTAGTAGCATACGAAAGATTAATATATTTCTAAGAGCTAAATCTACACCCAAAATTTTTAAAGATACATACTAAAAAGCACATCAATGTTGAAAGTAAAGCCGATCATATCATAGTATTTAAGTATGACAATATTCTTTTTGTAAATGTTTACTCATATCAATAGATTGCTAACTTTACTGAAGCATTTAGATACTCCCTATAAGGGGAGCGTTAACAAAAGGTTTCTGAAATCTCTTAGTAAGTAAAACATATTCTAGGTCCAACTATTCAACCTAACGACAGTTAAACTTAAGTTTGAAAAAGTCAATCTGATTTAGTGATAACGAATTTTTTTATATTGAAGGCTGATCATGTCAAACTGATCTGAAATTTATAAATCATTCAGGTGAGCGGTTTATTTAGTGAGCAATTTACATTTATTTTCTTATAAAAAATCATGTGAGGCAAGTTTAGTTGTAGTCGGTTTTGAGCCTTTTGACCACGTCAGCTTCTTGAGGATGTCAAATGGAATATAGTTAATTAATCAGTAAAGTTTTTTATATCCGCTTGTTGTGTTTAGTAAAACATAGCATTGCTTTTCATTAACTTTCCAGAACTTCGTGATTCCAGATTTTGATCGTCCTACCAGGTGGTCTTATTCACATTATCTAAAATCAAATTTTAGCACCAAACTCGCTGACGTACTCCCGAGGATGTCAACATAGACTGTCGAAAGTTGAAATACATACATGGATAACAAATACATAATTTGTCGAGTTTTCAAAGACGAGCTCTTTCACTTGTATACTCGCACACTCATATCCTTTGCCAGGAACTAACTGGGAACCCGGTCTACAAATGCTTTTGTGTCTGGCGCCACCCGTTACTCGACTGTTCTCGCATAACGGTGACATTGAGGGCACTTCAGCCAGATTGTGTACTTGCAAGAAAGTGCTGTATAACCAGCATGACTACATATTTGACTGTTTGTTCTATTCCTACGAGAAAAGTAAAATTTCCATCGCCATCACAGACTGTGACCTATCTATAAAAACAACTTCTGACTGCTACGTAGGGCACAGCAGAAGTTTTGTCGTATGGAAAAGCTATTTATTATTATCATATTGCTCCCTTTAAATAGAATCACACATCCCCCCGCTCGCCTTTGGATGCAAACCTGTGACTTCGCAAATGCAAAAAACAAAAATCGCCAAGTGATGACTAAAAGGTTCTAGATCTAACAGTTAAAGTCTAGATTCATTAAGCGTGATGCTCTAGTGCATTGTCGATGTGAAGATACTGCAAACGCAGCCTCGCTCTGAAATTTAAATGTTTCAGTGGTGCAAATTGCTGTGGCTGGCAATATTTTATGTGTCATTTAGCTTTGACTATCTTCTGATTACCAAGCAATGGCAATATTTTATGTGTCGCTTAGCTCTGACTATCTTCTGATTACCAAGCAGATTTGCCATTAAACCTGATTTTTTGAAAAACAGACACGACCTACTCCAATCGACAGCGACTGAACCATTTGATTGGAACATCAAAAAATTATACTCAACTTCCGGCATCTGGGATCATTCCATATTCAACACCCTTCAGCATGTTTTCGGTTACTCATGTCATTCTCTGTGCGTCAGTTGATATGCGGATACCCAAATGGGTATAAAGTGTCCGAACTTTAAAATGATCGCATGTAATTGGCCAAATGTTTTGTTCAGACATTCCTCAGCGTTTCGCCTGGCTTCTAGCATGAATTCGTCGCATAGTTTACATTCTCTTCGGTTACGTCTTTGTGTGGCCGTCCCGAACTTGGATCGTCTTCTAAATTGAATGAGCTAGCTACATGTTTTCATCAAATACTTTTTCCATTCCACCGTCCGATTTTTTAGTTGATGGACCATACCGACATTTTCTTATGGAGAGTAATGGGACGGTAAATAACAGTCGGGAACTACTCCTTAGCGACACTTCAGAAAACTAACAATTTATTTGCATTAACGGAATGTTTGTACTTTGTAAGTATTAGGGGTGACCAAGGTGGGTGCTTCAGAAAAATGTACACGTAACCTAGATGCATTGAGTTATGTTGTGATGGGATAAAACTTATACCACGGCCAACGCAGTACATTTTTAGTCAGTCACGTATAGACTCATGCTGATACTCGGTTGAGCGCAAATTTTTTCGCAATGAACTTCTTCAAGATTTTTCCACCCAACATCTGATTAATTATGCTGCACAAAGGATTCTACTACTTGGTTTCCGAATTCAAATTAAATTCTTTGGCTGTTCCATAATGACAATGTCTCTCATCTCCGTTGGTAGACTGGATTGCTAATCTATCGGTCTACCTATCTGTTTAGCTGTTGCCATTCTTGTAAATGCTTGGTATCGAAGCCAGCTACACTGATTTTTGTTCGGTGTATCGTGGATATAATGTCTCGAGACCATGCAGAGACCTTGTGGGAGAAGACTACATTTTTTAAGTTTAGTATGTTGTAGACCTCGAAAGCTAAAACAAGGGTGTCCATAGTTTCAACAGTTAACTAGATTTATGACAGCTCATACACCTAGGTTTAATTACTTTTATTGAACTCCGATTTCTAAAACAGTGGAGCCAGTTTAACTAAGCCAAAATGCTATCGTTTTATTAAATTTTGAAACCATTTACTTAAATTGAGCACAATTTATTTGGAATGAAAGGACCACCAAAATGGGTTTACCTACTCCATGCAAAACAATTTTATTATAACTATTAAATTTTTCTTAATTAGTTCTGGTAAAAGTATTTGGCTAGCCTTAATGAATTACTTTATTCAGTGATAAGATGATATTTGGGTA